TCAATTAAACAATATATCAGTCATTCAATTTATGGCTCATATTTCATGCCAACAGTCATTCAGAAACTATAATAATCATATGTGGTACATCCAATAGCAAAACAGTATAATAGGTCTTATAGACCGAACAGTCAGTTGATGGCCATCATATCAGTAAACAGTAGTGGTTCCAACATGGGAACTGACAGAGATCTCTGTGACAGTAGCAGTACAGTACAGTAATAGTAGGTTGCTATGGATGCCACGAATATAGTTCATAAATAGGACATCATTCATTCAGTAACAGTATCATTTCAGAAAACAGTACAGTTCAGTTGTTCAGAAGGTAATCATTATTGAACATATCTTTACAACATTGTTACTCACAGAGTTTTGGACTATAGATAAGCTAGAGCGTCTCCAGAATACCAACCCTACACAGTTACAGATTGAACACACACTAAGCTACACAGTTGGGAAAAATAATAACTTAATCCCTAATTTGCCTCGGTGTGGTTATACATCAATATCCTCATTAAGAAGCCTTAAACTAGGCCTAGGAATGCCTAGAATGAAATGAGGATACAATGATGCGCTTTAAAAATATTTTCAGAATTTTCAGAAAACAGAGGTCCCGCTCGAGCGCGATTATCTCCACTCGAGCGGACATACAACAAAAGGGTTTCGATCGAGCGTATACTTCCCTGCTCGAGCAGACTGTAAAACAGTCAAAAGTGCTGGATGTGTGAAAATCACGCCCGATAGGTGCTCTACACCCACTCGAGCATGAGACACAAGATCCCGCTCGAGCGTCCAATACCTCGCTCGAGCAGACTACAAACACAACTAAAGTGCTGGATGCACGAATTTCACGCTCGAGCGCCAGTCACCCCGCTCGAGTGAGTTCAAAATCTAGAATTCCCAGATTTGAACCTTAAGCTCAAAATCAACTTCAAATGTATCAAATTCGATCCTTTTGGGCTAATTTTCTGGAAAAAAACTTCAAAACTCATAACATTACATGTTTCAAAGATCTATTTGAGAAATCGAAGCCCAAAGGTAGTTCAATTAAACCCAATTTCAAACCAAATTTCATGAACATGACCTCAATGCAACATGCATGAGTTAAATCAACTTTAAAGCTTCAAATACATGCTCAAGTGAGTCAATTTCTTCAAAGACAAGTTGAATTCATGGATTTTAACACAAATATGAACATGCATGCAAGATTCCCATGAAATCCAACCTCTAAACTCAACAATGTAAACATGCATGCATGATTTGAGCTACAATACAACAAACTAGAGCCAATTCTAGACTTAGCTCTCTAAACTACCATAATCCATGCTAGATACAACTTAGATACACAATTAAGAGAGTGATTTCTCTATCTTATGTCTTCAATTCAAGTGTAGAAGCACAAATATGCAAGAATCCCTTCAATTTCTCTCAATCTCCAAGCCAATTCTCAAGAACTCAAGATTTTCTCCTACCCTCTCTCTCTCTAGTCGGTTGTGACTCTCAAAATGGGCTGACGAAATGTTTAGTCAAGAGTGTATGAAGTGGAGAGGAGTTGCCTAGATTAATCCACTAGGTGGCAAATTAGTAAATATGGCAAACTCTTGTAATCTAGCTTATTTTAATCTAATTTAATCATACCAAATCGCATTTTAAATAAATATACCATTAAATCACATAATTTTTAATGATCATAAAACATTAATCAATTTCTGATTCGGCCGCCGATAAGGCCTTCAATTTGTAGTTTAAACACAGAACATGAACAGATAATTTACCAGTCAAACAGAGAGAAATGTAATTAAACTCATATACTCAATCAATTAGTTCAGACTTTCAGTCAATCAGTCAATTAACATGCTTAGTCTCAGTTTAACAATAAACAGTGGTGAGGGTTATCACAGAAGAGGTCCTCTTCCATTACAAGGGTTCAGACTTTGCTTCTACGGCATATAATATACACCTCTCTATATCTCTCTCTTTTGTGCTCAAATATTCCATAGTTCTTGGCCCTTTGCACACCAACCCTTAGCTTAACCCTTCCACTATCCATCCAAGCACCTTAGAGCTGCTTTTCAGAGGTTAATGGTTTGCTACTTTTGTCCAGAAGCTGCTAGAGGTCTTCTCTACAAGGGTAACACTCATTTTTCCCTTTTAAGCATTATTTTGCTTCACATCTTAGTTCCATTTGCAAGTATATTTGGGCTTTGTCATAAACTGAAAAAAGTCTTGTTTTAAGCTTCTTAACATGTTTGTTTAAGACCTCTTTTCTGTTGGGGGTCACCTACCCCCTTTGCATGCTTCATTTCTCTTTGTTTTGAGCCATGCATTAGGGCTTTTGTGTTGAGCTTTGTTGGCCCTGTTGATAGGGCTGAGCAAGGAATCCGTGAAATCCGTAATCCGATCCAGTCCAGTCCAATCCGATAGGTTTGGATTGGTTTTTTGAATCCGTGGTTCGGTTCCGGATTGAATAATTAAAAATCCGTAGTTCACGGATTGGTTCCGGATTGAATCCCACGGTTCCGGATTGGAACCGATCCGGACCGTATACAAATAGTCTATATTTTTATTATACAACCTCCCCCATAGTATCTTCTCTTATTCTATATAAAATCTAAACTCAAACCTAAAACCGTATAATATCTTCTTTTATTACTTTTGTTTGTTAGTTTTAAGTTTTAATTTGCAATAGTCTAAATACTTATGGTGAAACCAGTTTTCTTATGGTTGTTTAAATTCTATCAATGGCGACAAAACCACAAACCAATCGGACCAAAAGGAAGCCCTCGATGAGATCTACACTTTTTCTCAAAGGACCATGGTGAAAAGATCACTCTAGGTAAATAGATCTAGAGGTCTTAGTGCCAAGAGCTTGAGTTTAGAGAGAGAGAGAGAGAGGAGCAGTCACAGTTTGAGAGAGAGGAAAGAGAAGAAAAGTGAAATGAAACTATGTTTGGAGCCTATTTATGGTAGTAGAAAAGTAGCCCTAAGGTCAATAAAATAATAGGCCCAAAACCTCCTAAAGGTAGGGCCCATTCAAACCTACAAATCTGGAAAAAAAAACACGCAGGGGTTGACCCTTCAGGTAGGGGGGTTGACCTTTTAGGTAGAAAAAGACAATCTGACACAAGCAAGGGGGGTCGACCCTATTTTCCAACAACAAACACACAAATTCTACAACATAAGAGGGTCGACCCTCCCTAGACTGGTGTCTACCCTATTTTCCAGCAACACTTCTAGAAACTTCAACAATAGGTAAGGGTTGACCCTTAGGAAGGCTGGTGTCGACCCTAGAATGGAATTTCTAAGTTCCTAATGAACTTTTTGACAAGAACAAGTGCAAACAAACAAACCCAACAAGTTTAAATCGGATCACACTCCTCCAAAACCAACATTCAACAACTTCAAAGACTCCCAAAAAGATAAAAATAAGGGAATTAAATACACACTCCAACAGATTAAAGGATGTGGGTGTTACATGTTTGGTCTGTGTGGAAGCATATGAATGAATGTATCTTTAGTGATACTCAACCAAACTTGAAGGCATTGTGTGAGTTTATCAAAGTAGGATTAGCCATCTGGTTGAAATCACATAATGTTGGGTGCTTTTACTCTATAAATGAGATTGTTTCAAATATACACTAGGTAAGAAGGTGTTGGAACCGAAGTGATTAAGTCAGGACTACTCAAATGATGATGGAAACTGTGGGTTTGGCAGCTGTAGTGATTACAAGCTATGTCGGTGTCAACCTAGTTGGGATCGTTTAGTTTTGTTGTGATGCTCTTTTGCACCTACCTTCCCTTTATTGATAATAATTATTTGTATTGTTCCTTGATTATTATTATTAAAGTTTATTTTTGCTGATAAAAAATATATATATTGAATTTATGATGTTTATAATTTTTGTAGTTTCATAGTCCGAGAGTTTCGATCGATGGATATTACGAGATGGCAGCCGGAAATGAGTATGAGATGTCAAGAATTCTCCAGTATCACCAGATCACTGTTGGTATAGCCTGCCATACTTCTTTTGATCTTTATAAAGGGGTATAAACTACTAAACACAAAAATGTTTTATTTGAATAATTTTGAAATAAGTTGTAATTAAATGTTATTGTAATTTATTTTTATATGTAGGGTTTGTACAAGCCACCTCGTTTTTTATTCGAGCTTGATATGGTGAAGCTGAGTGATAAATCAGATCTTGAAAACCATCCACTTCTGGAATTTCACGAGATTTGTCTTGTAGGCATGGGGACTTACAATGGAGAACCCACCTGGCTGATAAAAAATTCCTGGGGGAAGCAGTGGGGTGTAGGTGGCTATGCATACATCTCACGCGACGGAAGCTACGCCGGAGTCTTAGGGATAAATTGTTGGCCAACTTATCCTATTATCGGTGATCACGAAAGATACGAGAAGCCTCGCCTCTATAAGCCACCTACTGGGGTTATATTCCCGAAGAAGGATTAATCTTGTCATGTTCTCTGCTTGTCATTAACATTCCTTTTGTTAGCAGTTTATTTATTATTTTTTATTTCTACATTCTGTTTCAATATATAAGGCATCTACTTGTACAGATGTGCACCTTTGATTTTGTGATAAACCCTTATGTGTGTCTGCTTATTTCATGGTCAAGCAAGGTAATGGAAATCAAAAAGATAATAACAAATAATAAAGGAGATGCATTCAACCAAGGTTTAGAGGGAGCCCAAAGACTCACAATGTTTCAATATTAGAGCCCATATGAGAATGGTTTTTTGCACGTATTTCAATTTGTTTGATGTGAATAAAGTTCTCTGGCTTTAGATTTATTAGATATGGTTCATTATGTTATTATTAAAATCTTGGTTTGGTTGAGGTTCTTTAAAGGATTCCTTGCTTTAAGTCAATAAATCTTGGTTACTTGATCAAGCATGGTAGAGCACTATAGTTGGACACATTTTTATTTGACACATGTTGGAGGCTTAGATAGTAATTAACTTTTCATGTATTTTACATCATGGTGTTGTGTGTTGATGGATATGAAATAAAGGGATTTGGGTTTCATTTCATATTGAAAGTAGTCGAGAGAATTGGTATTGAAGTGCTTCCATTTGAAGCGTTAAGGTAAAGGTATGAGATTCATCCTACTAGAATAGTTGTGCCACTAGAATTTTGAAGGTTTAGGTCAAAATTCATGTTTTTTTTTTTTTCTTAGCAATGGTGAAAAACTACCTTCTTTATATTTATTTTACTTCTTCATTCCTTTAAGTTATTAGACTCATTGTTCATGGACCTATTAAAACCAATAAATTAAGTGGTAGGTAGCAGTGTATAATTAGGCTCATGTATCGAATCTGCTTGACTGATTTTCACTACAGTTTTCAAAACTTTTGTCTGTCAATAGTTTGATTGTTCAATTTTTTTTTTTAAAGAGGTTTAATATTTTAGATTTTTTATTTTTAAGTAGCAGTGGCAGCAACAACACTACTTATGATCAATGCACTTTCAATAACTACTACCAGGAATATCAATATGGAGAAATAGGCCAACCAATTCATAGTGATGATCAAAGTGATGTGAGATATGGAGATTCTTCTGTACCACCATTTAATTCTTTTTATTACTAAGTTTTAGAGTTGTTGATTTGTAGTAGATTGTTTGTATGCGATTAT